TGGTTCCCCTCGCCCCCACGAATAACCGAGTCCCGCAGGCCGGGACATATATATATATATGTATATATGTATATATATAAAATAGACCACAGTATCACTTTAATCTCATAAATATGTACTACAATTATTATTTGTCAGTATCTGAAACAAATTTGAGACTGTAGTAATGATTACTAATTGTCAAATTGCTGGCTTCATTGTAAATTTTATTATGAACATATATTTTTAGTACTGTATGAACTGAGTAGCTAGTGAGCAGTGTGCTCTCAGACTGGGGTTACATCAACATATTTTAAATGGCTCAGAGACCCAGAATTGAAAAGTGAGCTATTGGTGTGGTGATAAGTTTGTGGGAGAGTGCAAACTTAGTAGTCAGAAGAGAAATGTTACTACCCTTTTAACCTGGGAGTCCTGGTATAGGACAACCTGCCAGTGCTAGGCTAAATGCTAGCTTGTCAAAAGTGCTGGGAATAATTTAACATCTTTTAAGATGTTACAGATCTTTTTAATACAATGCAAATATAATTTTAGAGATGGGAAATAACTGTAGTTACAGTTATCTGCTCCTAATTATGAATATAGTTTTTTAAGTTTTGAGAGTCCCCTCTCTTGCATAATAGTCATTTTCTCTTGTATTCGTTTGCATTGCTTAGATTATATTCACACCAAAAATGTGTTGCTTAAATGAAAAGAAAGGAAAGATTTTGATGTCTTTGATTCGCGAATCTGTCTAGTTGGAACATGAGAGACTGTTATCTTCAGTGGATCCTGTAAGGGTCATGCTGCATTCTGAAATATTTTAAAGAATTGTTCATTTATTTTATGTATGTGTATGTGTACGTGTATTATGTGTATATGTATACTGTAGCTGTCTTCAGACACATCATTAGAGGGCATAGGAGGCTCCATGAGGTTGCTAGGAACTGAACTTAGGACCTCTGGAAGATCAGTCAGTGCTCTTAACTGCAAAGCCATCTCTCCAACCCCACATTCTGAATGTTTGATAGAATAATCTCATGACTTGTAGTCCCTACCCTAATGAGGACAAGGGGACAAGAAACATACAGAAAAAAAATAAGTGCTACAAAAAAGACCAAAATTGTACTAAGTTCTGTTTAATACCACTGAAATATTGAAGTTACCTGTTGATGGAATGAAGTAAGTAAGGGTGATCAAAATAGAGAGTTTGTGTCTGGGTTTGTTACTAAAAATTTACTGGAGAAATAGCTTGGGTGTGAAACTGCCTCTTTACATCACCACCCTTCTAAGATTGTGGGGCAGTGTAAAGACTACTCCTTAACACTTGTCTGTACACCCTCTACCCCTGTCTCTGTATGCAAGAGACAGTGAATCTGGCCATGGGAGAAATGAGGTCACGGAAAGAGAGAGAAGTAGTATAAGGGCAGCTGGCATGGGAGACTCCCCGTACATGTTGGCAGAGTGGGTGAATGTATTGAGAGAGAGACATACTGAAAAATAATTTGAGCTGACCTAGAAATTTATGTCTGAAAGTTGCCTGTTGCTATATTGAGTCCAGTATGAAATTATTGGTATGCTTAGTGTAGCCAGAACATTTTTCTCCATGGGTAGAGAGAATGCCAAAAGAAGGATATGCGGGAGATTACCATAAAAAGAGACAAAAATGCCTTTGCCTGCTTCCTGAGTCCCCACCTTCTACATACATGCATTCTGATAAAGCATGGCTTACGATACTAAAGGAAGCTTGGCCTGTAAAAATGACTCTGAATTTTGTTTGAGTGACTAACTCAACCGTGCCTGGAGAACTAACCTACAGAGACTCATGTAAGAATGTCTCTCTTGTCTTGTACCCCGCTTGCCACTGTCCATCATCACCACCCCATTTAATCCTGTTAGTGAACTAGATTGACAGTTGCCAGCTGCCTTTCATTAGTGGTATTTCTAAATGTTATGCGGGAGCCTTCTTTGCATATGCATACATAGGATCAACCTCTGAAGCTCAATTTTATAATCAATCTTAACGATGCTTAACTCATATGGCATAAAATCCACCAATTTCAAGGGTCCAGAGAGTTAATTTTAGTAAATGTATGTTTATTAGATTTTAGTCAGCCATTATCACATTCCATTTGGTTGCCTGCAGCCTTTCGAAGCAGATGACTGATATAACATTATAGTTTCCTGTCCTCTTGTGTAATATCTTTCTATAACTGGAATATAAACATGAATCATATTTTAGTGTAGAGACCAGATTTCCCATACTGAAATAGCCAAGTCAACTGAATCAGGTGCATCTTGTATTTTGCTACAAAGAGTAGACGAGAGTTTTCTTAACTGGGAACTAAGACTACCATACTTGGCTTGGCTTGCTCAGCAGAATTGCAGGTTATCTTTTCTGTCAAGTATTTTGTTCCATTTCTAGATATGCATTACAATTTGGCTCTTCAAGATATATGGAGTAGTATTCTCCAGCATCAGGCTTGACTTTAAAAACCTATGTGATCATAACATTTCTTCTAGCATTTATATGATGTATTTAGGTGTCAGGGAAGTGGTTGATGGATCTTCAGAGCATAGGGAAATCATGTATTACACATAGATTCAAAACAGAATTTTACTTTTTGTGTTTTTATTCCACAGAAGAAAGGTAAAACATGTTTTTGCAAGGCATAAAGAGCTACAGTGGACTAAGTCCTACATCTTACCAGAGTTTCCCTATGACGTCAAGTGCATGTTGGCAGAACAGAAGCGCCCCGACCACAGCATGCGGATAAAGATCATTGGGTTTCTCCAGGCAGATATGACGAAGTATCTGGAAGGCTCCCTGTGAGTAACAGTGAGGACATGCTGAGTGGAGGAGCCAGCTGTGTTCAGCGAACAGTAGAATTTGTTAGGAACCAAGTTTTCTTCACTTATGGGGAACATAGAGAATAGAAGTTCAATATGTACAGATTTAGGAGAGGGGCTGAGGTTATTGTCTCAGTTGGTTAAATATTTGCTGCATAGTCCCCAAACTCATATAAAAATGCAGGCATGACTGCATATGCTTGTCACTCTTGCTCTGGGAGGAATAGACATGTATGTGCCTAATACTCACTGGCCAGCCGGCCTTGTATAACTTGGCCCAGATCCCAACCCTGTCTCAACAAACAAGGTGGGATATGCGGGGGAACAATATTAACTTAAGGTCTCCATATCTGCACACAGAAATACACACACACACACAAATATAATACATATACCCTCCACACACACATGGGGAGAAAGAACACACACTAACACATACACACCACACACACATACATATACATACACCCTCCACATACACACACGGGGAGAAAGAACACACACATATACCACACACAAGGGAGAGAGAACACATACTAACACGTACATACACAGAATACACACTAACATACACATACATACACATACATCCTACACACACATATGGGGAGAGAGAACACACATACTAACACATAATACATACAGACACATACACAGACATACACATATACACACATA